CTAATATGAAAATTATTCTTACTTGAATATAATTTTGTTAATTAAGAATACATACTGAATACAGTACAGTGATATTTGTAGACCTAAAGATAATTTCGATTGCATTTGATTCATAAAACTTCTGCTCACAATGTTATAATTCATGTTTAATATTTTCAGAATTTACAACAGAAGAAACATATCAATAATGATACTGGTGATCTGGGTATCAGCCTTAACCATGTATATGCCATATTATTTCGGAGCACTGGGCGGCTTTGGTTTAGACTCCAACCAAGGATTCTGCACCATCATATATGAAAAGAATGGAGGAATACTTTATTTAAGTTTTGGCTATGTGCTACCCATTCTTATTATGATTATATGTTACTTCAAAATTTGGTGGACAGCAACAAAAATGAAAAGAAAATTGCAAAATAAAAATTTATCTTCGTGCCCTTCAAATAACGTGAAATACAATTCAAACAGTGCAAGTGCTTTAAGACCAATTGTTAGCGACTCCTTCAGTCGAGGGCACACCGACACAACCGACAATGGTAAAATTCCAACCAGTAGCGAAGCAAATAGTCGAGGTGGAAGAAATACCATTGCAGAAGTGTTTCAGGCTACTTTTAGAACCGCCAAGAAAACAGACAGAGTAAAAGCACCAACAAGAAGAGACAAAAAGCTATTTACCATGATAATCGCTATTATCGTAGCTTACAGTGTCGTTGAGTTACCTGTAATGATAAATAAAATTCTTATATTGGATAAACCTAAATATCCTTTTACGATGGTAATGTTACAAATTATTAATTTTGCAGGTTATTGTATAAATCCTATTATCTATGTGTTTATGTCCAAAGAATATCGACAGGCCTACGGTAAGCTTTTCAGAATGATAATGCGTAATTTTCGAAGAATCCGTAATTAGTGCATTTTCGGTATAAGTCTTGTTATTTATAATTCTTTTATAGACCTCGTTTAAAAAACCTACCTTAACTCCCAGTTTTTTAAAGTCAGTTAATTAATATAGGTACTAAAACGTTCTCCTGATTTTAATAAACACTTTTCTGAAAACTACTTCAAAATCGGTTCAGCCAACCACGAGATAATCACACACAAATATTCGGTTAAACATTGGCTAAAACCATTGGTTTTTTCCGATTATTCTTCTACTAGCTGTTGCTCGCGTCTTTGCTCGCTTGGATTACGGACTTTATGACTAACCTTTTTTTCAACCCCTATATCTTCGAATGTAGATTCATATTTTTGAAGTGTTTCCTTACTCTGTATTTTATTGTTTTTATAGCACTAAATACACACGTTTTTAGTAAAAAAATTTGTTATTTATTTTGTGTTAGAAGACCAATAGTTTTTTTGCGTTATTCAACTTGTAAATGTAGAGCATATGTATGCTCTATCTATGTATAATATGCAGTCCAACAACCAACGCATGTCGTATTAAAGTATTTCTAGAGATACGAATAACAGTTGTACAAAGCAACTGCACTCGACGAAAATCATTGAAAATAAAATTGAACCCAATTTTATAATAAACTTAAATAGAAAATCGTACCCTACATTTATTTATCAAAAGTATGATTAACACGTAAAATTTTAAGTACAGAATCGTAGGCGTACATTTAAAATGGCATCTGAATTTTTGTGGTAGACATTTATTGTGCACAGTTGTTAGTACCAGCAGCAAGGCGTCGCAAAGTGCTTGTCTCAGTTCGTTAGTTGTTCATTAGTGTTCTACAGAGACAATGGCGGACTGTAATGTTCATTTACCCACTACGCGGGGTGCTACTGCGCGGTACGCCACTACGACACTATGCTATTCTGACGCTACGCCACTTAACTCCAGATTCACCACTTCTTTCTAACGACTCGTGTTGTTTACATGCTAATGTTATCAAAATCGCTGTAATGTGGAAGATTTTTTTAAAGAGATTTAAACTATTATTTTCGTAATAAAGTAAACGTACTACTGGGCAAAAGCCCGCTAAGGGCTCTTCTTACAGGGAAAAAAATTACCATTGTAATGGAGATAGTGACAAATGTATTTTCTGATACGGTGTAAAAATAATTTTCAAGATTTCATACATTCTGCCAAACGCTTGTCTCTAGGTTTGAATTGAAATAAACTTATATTGTGCACTAGCCATTATAAGGAAGGAAAACAATTCTATGGCTAAACCATAAACTTCACCATAATTTGAAGTGTACAGGAAAATAGGTTTAACGCAAACAATTAATTGTTGTCTATAACTATTTTCTATTCGACATGTCATAAACACATAAATTGATAAGTATATTACGTCACGATTCCTTTTTTAAAACCATTACTTTTTATGCTCCGTAATTTAAAACTCTAAGCTTGTTACTTGGAGCTGATATTGACTAAGTATTAGTATTATACAACTCGACTGCCTCGTTGACCGAGTGGTCGCAAGTGCGACTGCTGGGCAAGGGGTCTCAGCTTCGATTCCCGGGTCGGGCAAAGTACAACTGGGTTTTAAAAAAAATCACAATAGTAGCTCGGAGTCTGGAATTGTGCCCGATATATGGCAATAGGCTCACCCCCTATTACGTGTGACTCATAACATAAACATTAAATAGTGGGTGTTATATTGTACAGTGGCATTAAGTGCCGTAATGTGCATCTCTGTCTACCCCTTTGGGGGTAAAAGGCGTGATGTTATACTTAAACTAAATATACAATTCGAATACCTTAAGGCTTAAATATGATCAGTCGATTACCTAATGCACTTCTAAGGAACTCTTTATGAATAAGGACATTCTAAAGTTCAGCATGTTTAATTGATTTTTGGACTTTGATATTACTATAAGCTAAATTTGATTCGTCATAGCGCCCTAATAGTTAGGTTAAATTCTAAGTACTTAGGTTCATGGTGGATACATGTGTAATTGTGTATATTGAGAAACACATTATAAAGTATCGCTAACCACGTCTAAGAATTCTTGTAGAAACGAAAATTTGCAATTACATTAATGCAACAAAAAAATTTAAACAGATAGCACCTATATTTACAAACGTTTACAAACGAATTCACAATACAAGAGAAAAAAATGTAACATACATAACATAACATCATGCCTTTTTATCCCCGAAGGAGTAGGCAGAGGTGACACCCACTTTTCACTATTTATGTTATAAGTCCCATGTAATAGGGAGTCAGCCTATTGCCATATACCGGGCACATTTCCAGACTCCGTGCTACCACTATTTTTTTTTTAAACCCAGTAATACTTTAACGTACATACGTACAAGTCAAACTTCATTTGTACGCTTTTTGAAATCGGCTAAAAAAAAATCACAACGGAAAATGAAGCCACGAAGATCGTAATTACAAAGAAGTTAAAGCAAATAAATATCACTTACATAGTTTAATTACCTACTTCGAGAAGTTTCCTCAATGTTTAGAAAACCCCTCGGGTACCCATGTTCCGTAATATTTCACGTTCATTCGTCCCTTGTGAGTTTAGAGGCATTGCCGAGTTCAATGTGCTATTGGTGTCCAAATATATAGACAGTGATATAAATCAACTTGACTAGACTGCCTCATTGGCCGAGTTGTTGCAAGTGCGGCTGCCAAGCAAGGGGTCTCGGGTTCGATTCCCGGGTCGGGCAAAGTGTTACTGGGTTTTTTAAAAAAAAACTCAGTATTAGCACGGATTCTGGAATTGAGCCCGGTATATGGCAATAGGCTCACCCCCTATTATATGGGATTCATAACATATGTAGTGAAAAGTAGGTGTTACATTGCACAGTGGCACTAAATGCCGCAATGTGCACCTCTGCCTACCCGTGATATTATGTTATGTGTCCATTTATGCGTATTCCGTTTAGCTTATTATACTTAGAAATACCTAATGTTATTATACCATACATCATTTAGTGTTAAATCTACATCATACTCTACATATTCAATTTCATAACCGTAGTATAGCGTCATTTAGCCATAATTCAATATATGCAGGAGTTCATTGATGTACTGGCTTGTAATTCTATTAATTGTACATATTTATATACCAGTTCTAGAAATAGATGATTCCTGTTATAAGTATAACATAGCAAGTTCTCGCTTTGTTCCCACTGTGGTAAGTAAAAAGAAACATGTTTATATAAGTGAACTCACTTATGCAACATGTAACGTAATTAACGCACACCCTCAAACACCCCAATTAGAATATTATGTTATAATCATAATACATACACTAAATTTTAAATTTAACATGTATATGCATCCTTACTGGTCTTGTCATAAGATTTATTTTACAATTAAAACTACGATTTTAAAAGTCTTATTGCTTTGACTAACGGTCCATTTCGATTTGTTTTAACAGTACAGGGTTAATATGACAATAATTTCCGTAGTTTTAATTATTCTTGGGATAAAAAATTACCTATACTAAAAATTATATAAATCGATTCAGTTAACGATTCTGAACAAACTATTTTCAGGATGTGCGTTATTTCAGTTACATGTTGTATAAACCAATATACCTACCCTTTTTGCAGATATCGGCTAAACGTCTTATAGACAATACGTACACCCCAAAGATATTTTGTATATTATGAAACAAATAACTTTATAATGTTTTTCCTGCATATGGTACTTAAGTTTGAATTACAAAACAAATGAGTAAATGTTTAAATTTAGACACCAAGTCTTGCATCAATTTTAGTGTTAAATTAATTATTTATTGGTGACTGGATTATAAAATTAATATTATGTGCGTGTATACAGCATTATCGTCTTACGTCGTGTGACGCACAGGAAAAACAAATCATTTATGCTTGTGGAAACACAATAGCATCAAAGACGCATAATGACCACTGAAAATACCATTAGGACTTTTATAGCCATAGCGAATAGACCGCTTACAAACCAAAAATGTAACAATCAATAAATCCCATTACAAGTGCTTTGGAAATTGCAAGTGATATTGAAAACTTCGGTACGGTACCAATAATTGTGTAAAAGTGTAAGATGCTGGCGTGTGATTACACCAAGTCGAATTTTGGTATGTCGTATACATCAAGTGAAGATTTAGCATCGGTTGGACTGTTCAGGTGTTATTCTGAAACGCTCCTGGCCTCCGCTTCTGCATGCTGTGTGGCCTTCATGGTCATCGGCATCCCTGGCAATCTCACTACTATCATAGCACTCGCTAGATGCAGAAAGGTATGTTCCATTTTGTTTTTAATCATTCAAGTATTCTCTTGTTTTGTTATGATTCATTGTCACAGTCATTCATAAGACTGCGCACTACTAATGCACAATTTCCCCTAAAGACTTCCAAATTGTTAGATCGGAAGCGCAATAATACGTATTTCATTAATTAAATCATTTAAATCCACTAATTTTATAAAGAAAAACACAGCCAAAAAGCTCTTACCACACCGTACTCAGAGTCATTTAATGGCTACTTAACTTAGCAATTGTTTTCGGAACAAAATCGTTACTAAGGAATAGTCTAAGTAATCATTCAATGTCTCTGAGTACCGCAGTAAGACTCAGCTAGATAGACACAATGATTATCCATCGTAGAAACGGTGGTAGACGATACCACGGTACATTTTTATGAAAATTTGAATATTTCAAAAAAACGGCTATGTTAACTGAATAAAGGCCACCACAAACTTATTCATCTGTTCCGATCGGTTTGTAGAGAATTGTGACCATAAGCATAAGTACTTACATACATAACATGACGCCTTTTATCCCCGAAGGGTTAGGCAGAGGTGCACATTACGGCAGTGTACAATGTAACACTTTTTGCTATTTATGTTATGAGTCCCATGTAGTAGGGAGTGAGCCTATTGCTTTATACCGGGCACGATTCCAGACTTCATGCTACTACTGAGATTTTTTTTAAAAACCCAATAATACTTTGCCCATCCGCGCGCACTTGCGAACTCTCGGAAAACGAGGCAGTCTTCTTAGCATAAATCTTTGTTTTTATATGTCTAACAATAAATTGAAAAAGTATGACCAGATGGATATTTCATGACGAATTTTTCTACCTTTGTGAATCTTCAGTTAAGCCAGCCAATTGTCGATGAAGTAGTACGTGCCTAAAGGTTCATTATCAGGTCTATTGAGTAGCCACTATCTGTAGCACACAACAATTTTTTTTCTTTCTAGTTTATTATATTTGTCTAGCAATGTTATTTTAGTAGTACTAAACAAACTTATGTTAATAGGTATGTTATAATAATCAATTTATTTATGATTGCAGGTCCGGAATGCGACAGCAATATTCATAATAAATCTCCACATATGTGATGTGATATTCGGCAGCCTGATTCTGCCGCTGACAGCCATCACGTTCTTGCAGAAACAATGGACTCATGGGTGGATCATGTGTCGTGTGTACGCCTACTGCAAGTTCACTTTAAATGCCGTATCCATATTCACAGTCCTGGCCATCACCATTAACAGATATATCATTGTTTGTCACCCACTCTGGTACCCCAGGTACGTTAAAGTAATGTTCACGTAAAACACATGGATTGTTAAAAGTAGAAGAACCATTACATAACGAATTATGTTTATTTCAGAATTTATAAAAGAAGAAACATGACATTTATGTTGACACTAATCTGGATGTTGGCCTCAGCACTCTTTTTGCCGTCCTACTTTGGAGCATGGGGTCGATTTGATTTAGAACCTAATGGAGGATTCTGCACAATGCTTGAGGACGAAAATGGGAACTCCCCAAAGAAATTCTTTTTAACTATCGCCTTCATAGGACCTTACCTCATTATAGCTATATGTTACGCTCGGATTTGGTGGGTGGTAATGAGAACTGCAAAAAAATTACGAGGACAAAATCCTAGACCAACGCGCCCAACTCATTTACCTCTAATGCTCACTCAATCTGATACGTCAACGGATGGGAGGACACTTATAAGCTTCGATCCTGCAAGTCCTGCAAACAGTACAACTGATGATGATAAGACGCCGCCTAGCAGTGCCAGTTCTACACCTAGCGATAATAAAACTTTTGACAAATATTTCAAGGCTCCATTTAGACTTACTAGAAAAGAAATAAGACCAAAGGCACCGACAAGAAAAGACAAAAAGCTGTTTGCAATGATTGCTGCAATAATGCTATCTTACAATCTAACTCATTTGCCATTGATGGTGACAAGGTTTGTCTACAAGGAGTATAAGTCTGAACCTTACGCTAACGTGGCTGCCCATCTCTTGTCATATCTGGGGACTTGCATAAACCCCATCATCTATGTATTAATGTCGAATGAATATCGACATGCATACAGGAGTCTCTTTGAAGACATTATAAATAAGTTCCGTAGGCTTATTAAATAACATGTCAATAATGAAGAAATAATTGATGTAGTAAGGTGTAGGTAGTTTGTAGTACTTCATTTACTACCTATTACCTAATCTAGTGAGATTGATACGACTCCTGCAAAAATTATGATCATGATTACAAGGAGAAAAAACACATTGGGTGAAACTCACTGTAGGTTCTGGTTGTAATGCGACACTGCACTGGACACACGTTTATTTAAACGAAAAAGAGGGTTCGAACGTGTGAAGGAAGAGTACCTGTAAAGCGTAAAGGAATGATGGATATGCAAAGACTTCTTCCTTGTGCTGTAAGGAAGGTTAAACAGTATTATTATCATATACTACATATAGTAATGTATAAAGTAAATACAATTACTAGTAAATAAAATATAATTCAACTTAGTTTCATTGCTTTTTTTTCGCCATCGTATAAAAACTTAATTTGTTTACAGTTTTCTTTAAAACTTTGTATTCTAAAGCTGATGTATGAAATATTCTCAACTCAATGCAAACGCACATACGAACACAGATTAAAATGTGGTGTCCGTCCGTTTAATATGAAATGAATTTTCGAGACAATGATGAATGGTCATCGTTACCATATTCAATTTCCATCGCAAATATTTAGTTTCAATTTTGCTATCGAAACGGTATGTTAAATACGGAGGAAGAGAGTGCTGCTGGCTTTATGTCTGGGATTTATGGGCAGGTAATATATTCGGGGAATATAAGCAGTGTCTTTTGAAAATTTATTAGTTCCCCATCCTTTAACAGTTGGAAATACGTCCATCTTTAAATACCATCAACAACAGTCTTCTACATACTTAAGAGGGTTAATATATATAATCTCCATGTCTTGTCCAACTCTTCTATTATTTACTAGAATAATTATCTAAATAAAGCAAATATTTATAGTAAAAAACACAACAAAATAAGTAATTAACTTTTAAAACACACGCTGGAAATGTATCCAGCAGTTTCTTTGTAGTTATCAGTGCCTATCAGGAGCAGCCAACTCCTACGGTTAATTAATTAGAGCAAAGCAAAAAGTTGTACTAAAACAACGTAGCCACGTGTGAGTGAAGACGACAAGACTCGCTATTAACCGACTTAAAGGAAAACAGAATGTGAATGTAGAGTTTATTTATTTATTTAAAAAAAGTTTATCAATAGTGATTTTATTTTAGGTATAATGCAATAGTTTGTTTGTTTATCTCACCGAAACAATTGGTTCGCATTGAACAATATTTTTTGTTTTTGGTACTCCAGAAGACTATGGGCTAACGCCTCATAATATGGAAAGAGTTAGGGGAGCCGAGCAGTGGTTGAAGCCGCGTTAGAGTCGCTAGTTTTTAAATATGAACAAAAATATGTTGTTTTTTAAGAAACAGGATGTTTTTAATCTTAGGAAAATGGAGGATCCTACGACCAAGATACTATAAGATACTGCCCTAAGGTTTACCACTTTTAATTTGAGAATTTCTATCACTGGTACTTCGACACATCATCAATTATTGGTTTTATCTTCGAACTTTTATTTGTGCGATTGCCAGTTTGGCATAATATAATTAATCGTACATTAAAAAACCTGGATATTTTTACTAATTAATTCGATTACTTAATTTCATATAATATTTAAGAAAATAAGTAATCACAATTCTTGAATCGTGATACTTCGAAAAAAGTATTTTATTTGTGTGCTTGACCACATTTGTAGATACATATTTTTTAAATGTAGATATCGGTAAATGAGAAACGGTGTCAACTGTTTTGACAAATACAGTACTACAAGTGCAGTAGCATTAGATAGTGAGACTACTTATATATATGTATGTAGTTTGTAATTGTTACAATAATAAAGTAATAAAAATGAATTTACTAAGAAATTGTGTAATACGTATAGTGTTGAACCTTCATGACGTAATTTAGAGTACCTAATCAATAGTTGTGGACTTTCTTCTTAATCCAAATATAGCACTGATTTTTACGTTCATTAAACGTCCAAATTCCATCAAAAAGTGACTTTTATTTGTTGCTGTGTGTTGCAAAATGAAATTCATAAAACCTAAGTAACTTCTGATGTCATCTGCCTACTCGTATTTAATTAAACTAGACTAGACTACACGTCAAACGTTAGGCAAGTATAATAACTCGACTCGGTAAAACCCAAATGACAAACAGGCAAACAGCCCCTATAAACTGCTTAAAAGATAAATAATGTTCATGAAGTTGGTTAAAAATTAAACTTTAACAGCATCTGTAGGCACTTAGATTCAAATTATGAGTGTAACATTTCGCGCTAAAGATGCGGTCGGTATTAAAAATGTAGATTTTTCCGTGGACCTTCTCATAGCACAGCTGAATGCTAAATAGGGTAGCGGCGAACCGCACTCGATGTAACAGTCCCTTTGCCGCACCACAAACTATGCTGGGCTAGGAAAACAGCGGACACGTTAAAATTCTAAAATAATAAATATTCATTATAATTATACTCGTTGAAACTTTGAAAAACCATTCTTTTTTATTTTTTTAATAGAAAACGTTACCCCACTCTAGTATTTTCTCCTGGGAGCGTTTACAAACATACAAATTCACTTATACATATCCCGGAACAACAATTTGTGGATTACACAAAGAGTTGCTCCGTGCGGAAATCGAACCCGCGACACGTTACGCGGTAGCCGGTTGCCCAGCCACCGCACCAACCGTGCATACCTTATAAATATACATAATATTGTTATAAAAATGTTATTTACTTAAATGTAAGTATGACAGTGTTGGTCCTTTTTATTCTCAGGCCGGTTTACTTACGGTAACAGGTGTCAAATTTTAAAGGGTTTTCATTTATCATTTCACAATCTCAAATGAAGATATATGTTTGTTTCACCATTGGGATCTAATTTTAAAGGACAAAAAGGGATAACCCTTTGAGAGCCTACCTACTTAATCATTCAGACCTTTAATTCAATTTACAATTTGGTTCTTAATATTTGTGGTACAGGACACTATTAGCTTGAAATTTATATGGATGGTAGTAGAATTTTAGTCTAGGAAGTGTAGTTGTAATTTCTTTATGAGTTTTTCAGATTAAAAAATTCTCAGTATGACTTGACATTTTATGAACAAGAACTGGCGATCGTATTTAAGATCAACTAAGGAAACTACACAAAAGTATGTATCCGTATCGCTGTTTTCGTGGCCAAAATTTTACAACACTTCCGAAAGGAATTTGTCGAAAGCTTCGGCAAAGAAAATACGCAAGCAAAACCAAACTTTGAACTACGAAGTTTAAAATTCAACATCGCTTGCGTTCAAATGGCTTGCTATGTTGAACTGGAGTCAAACAGTGCATAAGCATATTTTTATGTTTATTTCAGGGCTGGATTGTGCCCGCAGTGAATTTGAATTGCACAGTTTATGAAATATGCAAGTGATATCACGTGTAGTCGTATAGTTTTATTTACATTCGGTCGTTGAATATGAATATCCGGTTTTGACTGTGTTCATATAAAAAGTGGCATGCGAAAAATATAAATAGCTAACTACCTATCATAGTGTCACCCTCGGGTTTTGATGAAGGGGTATAGGTGTACCTACAAATACGTTGACTATAATATTTTATTCACCTATAACTAGCAGCCGCCAACCGAAAGACACCAATTGAAGTTTCTTGTAGTAACTAGTATTTTTTTTAAGGGGGGAAAAACATTCAATATCTGCTTCCGCCTGGGTGAGGCGGGAGGGAGTGTCAGACTCTTACTGACTAAAAACCACCCCGTTCCTTCTTCAGCACGTCGAGCCGGAGCCCCGGTAACCCGTTAGGATCTCCGCGACTGTAGTAACTAGTATTAATATCTTCGTCAGTTTCTAAAACTGTACTGTTTATTCGTTTATTCTATAATTTTATTAATTAAATATATATGACTACTAAGTGAACATTATACTAAATGATGAGTGAGCAAATAGCACAATAGTGTTAACACAACTACACTTTACATTACAATTAGTGCGAATGAGGAGTCAAATTTAATGAATAACATAAAAAATATTTTCAGACCGCCCTGATAATATAATATTACGTTTTAATTAATGAAAATTTTAATAACTTTAATCATTAACTACTTCTCAGAGCTCGCATTCGATATTTTGATATTCTACGAAATGAAATCACTGAATATCATGATTGGAAGTTTGGAACAAAAGTAAACATGACAAGTAGGCATTTCACTTGATGTTGATAACGTTAATTAATCCAAAATAATAATGATTATACCTACCTTTAATTTAAAATCTTGGTTTATTTAAATTACGTATTCATCTGCCTTTTTCAATAGCGTTTTCTCACAATGAGAAATTAATTAATTAATTATCCATAATAGACACATGTATAATCCCAATAAAAATTGTCACGATTTATTTGGTTAAAACAGTATTATTTGGACATCCGTCTATCATTTCTGTAAATACAATGAATTTACAATGGTTAGGCACATAAAACTAGGTAGCCGACGCTAATTTTTAACTATAACCTCAACGTCTGTCTAGGTCCTAGGTACATCATACGGAATTATTTTAACCGTCGAGGAACATAAATCTGTGATACTATGCTTAAGGATGTACTTGAAGACATATTGACATGAAACTTTATACACACATTTTCCAACAATATCACCAAGGGTTTCATGTAAATAGGTCTTTTAAAATTCATACATTTCCTGGGAAACATGTAAAAAATGGTGGGCTCAAAGCAATAAGAAATTTTGTGACCTTCAAGCGAAAGATATGGGTCCCAAGGCACGCGGTTCGACGACGATGTCACAACAAATATTTTCAGAGACTTTTAGGAACTCCAAGGCCCTGTTTATGTCAGGGTCGGTTTAAAGACTTTGAAGCTTTTATGTTCGAATGCCTGTGTCTATATTTTATAGCTATTATATATGCTTGATAGTTAGTTTGTTAGATAGATATATTCTGCTAAACTGCTGCATTGGTTACTGCTGAATTAGATAGTATTT